CAATCCCCCTGCTCTGTGCATGACGGGGCGGCGCCCCAACTCCCCAATTGGCCCTGCTCTGAGCCCGACCAGGGGCTGCACCTAGGGATTGGGCCTGCCCTCTGCCACCCGGGAGCAGGCCTAAGCCAGCAGGTTGTTATCTCCCGAGGGGTCCCAGACTGAGAGAGGGCACAGGCGGGGCTGAGGGACCCCCTCTCCCCTCCGAGTGCACAAATTTTTGTGCACTGGGCCTCGACCAAACAATGGAACGGCTGGTCATCCAGTCGCTATAATGTGCACTGACCATCAGGGGGGCAGACACTCAATGCAGGAGCTGCCCCACGGTGGTCAGTGTACTGCCACAGCCAACCTGCAGTCCCTCCCCCTGGCCGGCCGGCCCAGATTGGCCCCGATTGGGACTGGGCAAGACAGCCCTGATTGTCTCCCATTGCTGGCCAGGCCAAGGGACCCCACCAGTGCACGAATTCGTGTATTGAGCCTCTAGTATTATTATAAATGAGACCCTTGCCTTCATCAAAATGTATTTTTGCTACTAAAAATTAATTTATTTAAAAAATATTTTTCTAAATGTGTAAAATACATTCACATGATTCAAAATATAATGTACATAAGAGAAGTCTTCCTCCCACTTGGACCCTGCCTCTCTTTAACGCTCTTTACCATGGGAAATCACTTATTTCTTGTGTGGTCTTACAGACCTAATGCAAGTACCAACAGATATGAATGTATAAGGAATTAATCTTTTTGAAGGCTCATTTTAATAATTCAGAAATAAAATTAAGAACTTACAAATTATTGTGCTTTTGAAGTTAAGCAATCAAATGCCCTAGAAATTATGCACCTGCGCCACTGAATTAAAGACAAGACAGTTTTTTCTGTAATTTTTAAATTCTGTATGAAAATATTTAAATTCTGTATTAAAAGATCCAGTTTGGCTCAGTGGATAGAGCGTCCGCCTGCGGATTGAAGGGTCCCCGGTTCAATTCCGGTCAAGTGCATGTACCTTGGTTGTGGGCACATCCCTGGTGGAGGAGGTGCAGGAGGCAGCTGATCGATGTTTCTAACTCTCTATCCCTCTTCCTTCCTCTCTGTAAAAATATCAATAAAAAAAATTAAAATAAATATATAAAAAGATCCAGGTACATTGTCCATCACTATGGTTTTCTAGTTCTGAGGGGTAGTATTAGCCCAGGAAGTCATGTGACTGCTTAGCAGCCATCTAAACCATTACTTTAGATTTTTTAAAAATTAAACTATTATTCTTCCTTTGACCCCAAATCTTCATGTTGAAATTATGGGAAGTCTTATAATGGGGTTTAGTTCAGTTCAGTTGGAACAGATCTTTCAGAAGTTAACATTTCGAGATACATCGTGCTTTCAGGTGTGTTGTATCTCAGTTCTGGTCTGGTCACACAGCCAGCTGTGCCTGCTTACAGAGGAACACCCGGGGTAGTTGTGCAGGGCATTTTGCGTTGTTGCTGCTTTTTAAGTAAGGGTGAACTATTAGAAAATTTGAGTTAAATCTAAACTTTTATTCTAAGGTAAAGCCTCTTGGCGTTATATGGGGGAAGTTTTCAGAGTTTTACAGCAAAAAGAACACCATTATGTTTGATGACATCGGAAGAAATTTTCTAATGAACCCACAGAATGGACTAAAGGTAAGACAGTTTTACTTGCTTTGCTCACATAACCTGGAATATGTGTTAGCACTTTAATACTGTTAAATTTCATACATTTTTGGAAATACTCTCTATTATTATGGTCATGCAAGAAAAGCTTAATTATTTAGAAAATTTTATATAACATTGAACATTGTCTCCTTGGTTAGCCAACTCATTCAGGTGTTTTATTTTTAATTAAATTTGGGGGACAACATGAGCTTATTGACCATGGACTTTTAGCATCAAAAGTGAAAGCATCAACCCTGGCCGGTTTGGCTCAGTGGATAGAGCATCAGCCTGGGGACCAAAAGGTCCCAGGTTCGATTCCAGTCAAGGGCATGTACCTTTGTTGCAGGCTCCTCCCTGGCCTGGGCCCTGGTTGGGGTTCGTGCAGGAGTTGACCAATTGGTGTGTTCTCTCACATTGATGTTTCTCTCTGTCTTTCCCTCTCTCTTCCACTCTCCTTAAAAAAAAATCAATGGGAAAATATCTTTGTGTGAGAATTTAAAAAAAAAAAAAGTGAAAGCATCAGACATTTTATTAATAACGGATGCAAATCTTGGAATTTCTTATATTCTAGTTATCTGGAAAGCTGGCAGTAAGGGTCTTTTTCAAAATATATTTTTATTGATTTCAGAGAGGAAGGGAGAAGGAGAGAAAGTCAGAAACACCACCCATAACCCGGGCATGTGCCCTGACCTGGAATTGAACTGTGATTTCCTTGTTCATAGGTCAATGCTCAATCTCTGAGCCATGCTCAATGTTTTTTTTTTAATTAGAAATGAAACAGGTTGTAAAAATGTATGCTCTCGTAGCTATATAAAAGTTTAATAAGAAAATGTTGAAATGAAAATCATGAATGTTAAAATTTATCTCCCTTGTTACATAAAACTTGTATTTGGGTTAACTTTTTATGAATGAAGTGATATGAATGAAATTATTCAATTAGTAAGAAGGGGAAAAGTCTAAGCAGATATGCAAAGAAGAGATGCCATATAGGATTTAAGTGCTATAAGAAAGTGTTTCAGGTTCAGACTGAAAAGGTAACAAGGTAAAATTAGGTGGAAGAGCTCTTAACTTGTACTATAAACATTATACCATGACTATCGGTTTGTTAAACTGAGATAATATAAAAGTAATTTTTAATATTGACATCCTTGGTGATGTTTTAATATCATTAACTTAAATGATAGGTGAGTGTAAATTTGTACCAGTTTCCATAGTGCAGTGTGAAATATTGGGTAATGTTTGTTTCCTGATAGATAAGGCCTTTTATGAAAGCTCACCTAAATCGAGATAAAGACAAAGAACTTTTAAAATTAACTCAGTACCTCAAGGAAATAGCAAAATTAGATGACTTTTTGGACCTAAATCACAAATATTGGGAAAGGTAAGTGCTAATTGTTTATTTTCTCTTTCCATTAATGAATGAAAAAATTGGTGACTCTGGTTTTACACATAACTCTTAATTTTTATTTTAAAATGCGTGAATCTAAGAATATATTCTAATCCCATAACATCTCCCCTGGGAGTATTTTTCCTTTTGTCTTAACCTCTAATTAGTCGATAAACCCACGTTTTAAGATCTCTAGTACTTCTAATAGAGAGAAATTGAGAGTCTGGTACATGTTTGTGATGCTATCTGTAAATTATTTTGTGACATGAGGTAGGTCACTATTATGAATCACCTGGGCTTGTAATCTCTGCCCTGATATTGTAAAATAATGTCTGCATAAAATAAAATACACTAAAAATTTATCTACAAATCTCTCTGTGTAGCAGAAATGTTAGCGAACTTTATTCCACTAGAAAAACAAATTGTAGATGACTTAACTAAGTGGTAGGTATAAATGCCCCAATGCCAGGAAGTGAGTAAGTTCTGCATCATCAAAACTTGTCTAGGTGTTATGATTTTAAGAGCTCTTTGCTCATTCCCCATTACCACTGAGTATGGTAACTCATAAATGTGATAGAGATATGAAACTTTTAATTTAGTGGTAGATTCCTATAAAATAATATGAAGGAAAGTTTGATTAGTAAAATTAATTTATTTGCATCTTTACCCTCTTGATCAAAGACCCTTAGCATCTTTGGCCCACTATCTTTGTGCAAGAAAAATAAGATTTTTAAATGGAGTTTGAGGTTTTTGGGGGGAGAAATTATAATATTAATTATAGGCAGTGTAGAGTGATTGAGGGCCTTATTTTTAATCTGAGCTCTGACACTTTCTGGCTGTGTGAACTTGGGTGAATTGCTTAACCTCTTTGTTTCTGTAAAATAGGAATAAGTTCTAATAGAAAACTTTTCATAGAGCTGTTGTGAGGACCAAATGAACATAGAGTATGTGTTTAGAATAGTGCTTGGCACATAATCCAAAACTGTTAGTGATTATTAACAGTTACTACTCATCTTTAAAAGTTTTGGTACTAAAACAACTATTTTCCTTTGGGAAGAGAGTTAGATTGTTATTGTGAGTTTAGCATGGTACAGCTTAGATGTCTTTTATTTCTTGCAGATATCTCTCAAAGAAGCAAGGACAGTAGTTCCAAGTTATGCTGGCAGTTATTGAAGATACTTGAGATCCACGAACTCTTGCTTTTATGCTAGAAATCATTATAGTAGTGCTGGACACTGAAGCAAATACCAGACTGCTTATACTTGGTCTTCCAGTTTTTTGTAAATTTAATTTTATATTTTTTGAAGATCACAGCAATATGCTAAAAATATTCTTTTTTCCCTATGTGAATATATTGTTACTCATGAAAAATGTTTTCTCCAGGATTGAGTCCTGAGGTGTACCCCTCACTCCCCACTCACACAAAAAAAGTGGACAGAAATGTATACTCAACAATATCATTTTGAGATTTTTGCAATACCAATATGTCATAGTATGAAAAATAGAAAACATAAGATTGAAATATAAAACTAAGAAACAAGAATGTTTCTTTTTGGTGGCTAAGTAGAAACATTTCTGCCTAAAACCATTGTCATAAAAGCAGAGGCAATACATTTTAAAATGGGACATATCACTGATTCAGCCCTAAAAAGCATGAACAAAAGTGTTTGTTCTGTTCTAGCTATATCTTGTCTAAGTGCATCACTGTTTCAGTGAAAATATCTAGCCATAAGCTTTAAAAAAAATTGAAATGCTTAAGCCTGCAGATATGTAATGTGACCACTGTTTTGTGTTGACAGTATTGGTTTATACAGTTCTTGTATTTGAAAGGAATTTGATCCTTTCAAATGAACCTGGTGTATATTGTTCTTACGGGACTATTTCAGTGGTGTAAATAATAAATATCTTTTCTTAAAACACTGGTTGTGTGCTCTGTTATCCCAAATACTTTTTAATCACAAAACAAACATTAGGTCCAGGCAAGGCTCTCTTGAAAAAAATTAAATGCGTGTGATTTTAAAAGGGTGTATTTCACTTCATGCATTCAGAATTGGTTTTTAATAGCTACTTAGATATGTTAAATTACTTAATTCTAATACGCACCATGTTTTCAAAAGATAAGCTATTTTCCTTTCTTTGTGCTCAAATAAACTTTACACAAATTATTATTTTTGCTAAACCCAGTCCTCTTTCTCCTCTAGAGGCATTCAATTGCATCACCATCATAAAGATAGAACAAGATGTAGCCACAGGGTCAAACAGAGAAATACATATTTCACATGCATGCTCATCCCACCAGGTTTCCCTTAACCCTTAATACTGCTTTAGGTTAAGTGTGTTCTGCTGCCAAGGTTGGGGTGGGAGGGTGAGGTTTTGGATCTGAGCCGACCCAGAGTGTGATTAGGAACTCTAGTGATGGACATATTAGAGGTCCTTAGGCACCTCAAGCCCTGAATGGGTCAGCAATTCTCTGTCCCAAAGGGCAAAGGCAGGTACCACTGGACCCTGGGAATCTGTCTCTAGTGTGTGGACCACAGCAACCCAGCTCACATCCACCAACCTCAGTTTCTAGGCCTCATACTCCAGCAGCAGCCCCGCCTTCTCTGGATGCCCAATCCCCTCAATAGAGGCTTTCTTGTTGGTCAACGTAGTGTGTCACTTGCACTGGGCATAGGTGAACACCCAAGAACAGTCATCAACACTGATGCAGCGATCCGGAGAAATGTCCACATCTGCCACTCCTACATGGAATTGCTGGGAGCGCTTCACTGTTTACACACACAC